TGTGGGTGTTGCACTTGTGTTTGCTTCTAGCTGAAAAATGAGCGGGGTTTCTCAAGTGGGCATATTTACCATCACAGGTCTGAGCCCCCTCGGCTCCCAGTGTGGGGTCCCTGTGTGGCATGGGGTGCAGTTCTCAGCATGCCAGGGATGGATGGGCAGGGAATGTGTGTGGACTGAGCAGCTTCCAAACCCTGGTGCTGTTCTGAGAGGGAGGAGCTGGTGCTGGGCCAGGCTGTGTGGTCTCCCCTCCCCTTTCGGAGCCCCCTTTCTCACACGCCCTCCTTCCCGCTCCTCCCGGGCAACAGCTGCCAGAGCTGGAGGTTGAGAAGAGTGGATGAAGTCACTGGAGGGAGCCGGACACCTCGTTGGTTCCACGAGCAGCCTTGGCTGGGTGTTACTCCTTCCTGCCAGGCCCGCTCGCAAAGGATATATGTTTAGGAAACTTAGCCAGAAAGAAATCCAGTGAAAATGAGCTATGAAACTTGGACATCCTGGAGAAATAATATTTACAGAGGAAACTCTTGAGACGAACTCTCACCAGTGCAACAAGCCTGGCGTTGGGGCTCATGGCCAAGGACCGAGTCCTGTGCCAAGCAGCTCTGGCTCATGGTTACCTCCGTGAGGCCTTCGTGTGGCCATCATGGGAGTCCACAGACAACGAAGCTGACTCTACCTGCCCCCCACCCCAGAAAGACGAACGGAGACTAAGGAAGGCAGAGAACAGAAATGAGCTAGGAAATGAAAATCTTTTTAAAAACACTCCTTGCTGATAATGATGTGTCAGTGTAGGTCCATCACTTGTTACAAATGGACCACTGTGATGGGGGTGCTGATAATAGGGGCTGCACACGTGTGACAGCAGGGGACACAGGGGAAATCACTGACTTCCCTTCATTTTTTCTGTGAACCTAAAACTGCTTGGAAATATAAAATTCATTTTTTTTTTTAAATCTTCCTTGATTACACAAAAGGACCTGTCCTTTGGGATTTCTGTAGCACCTATAATGTGTTTGAATAAATATCTATATAATGTGTGGGCAGGTGGAAAAAGTCCCAGCAGCTAACCAGGAGCTGCAAGTGGGATACTGGATGACCATTTGCCATCTTATACATCTTGTCTGACCTTGAACACAAGAGGGTGCAAGAAAAGAGAATTTGGCTGGATTTGGAGTCATCTTTCCCATCACTGGAGCCCAAGGTGTTGTCTTAAAGAGAAGAAAACACAGGATACTTGCAATACTCAGAGCTGGGCCCTGGTCACAACGTTAAATGTTGGGTAAAACATGTCATCAGCGAGCTTCAGTCTTCTCACCTATAGGACAAAGTCACTGCCACCTTCCTCCAGACAACGCTGGGAAAAGCAATGGAGTCACTGTAGCTCAGTGGAAATGACAGTGATGGTCCTGGGCCCTCTCTATGCATTACATCATTGAATCCTCAAAACAATTCCATGAAGCAGGTGCTATCATCATGCATAAGGCAACAAGAGCTAAATAACTTGCCCAGTGATCACACAGCTAATACACAGCCATGCTAGAATTTGAATTCGTGTGGTTTGATTCTGGAACCCATACTCTAATTTTATACTGTTTATACCAGAACAGAAACTAGCACGACGCCTGGCACGCTTAGGTGATCCCTACACAGTCAGTCCCTTCCCTCGGTCTCTCTTAAACATCAAGATTATGCCGAGAAAATGGCAGAGAAATATATGTAAAACTTCTCTGAAGACCATAAGAGCCAATGAAAGCACAAAGTGCTAAAAAAAACCCCCAATTTTATCAACATATTATTCATATACCATAGAATTAACCCACTTATGGTGTACAACTTGATGGTTTTTTTACATATATATATATTCATAGACTTGTGACTATCTCCACATTCAATTTTAGAACAATTTCATCCCCTCCAAAAGAAATCCTGGATCTCTCAACCGGAATTCCCCCTTTGTTCTCCCCACCTTCCTCCTCAGCCCTGGCTACCACTCATCTATGTCCCATCTCTATGCGTCCATCGACTCTGGACATTTCACTTAAATAAAACCATACAATATATGGTCCTTTGGGACTGGCTTTTGCACTGAGCATGTTTTCAAGGCTCATCCACGCTGTAGCACGTAATAGTGCTCTGTTCATTTTTAGGGCCGAACAATATTCTGTTGCATGCAGCATTGCTGTGAAAGGTATTTACTGCTTCATAGACTCTTAGAGCTGGGGAAAACTTTAGAGGCTAGACACAAAGGCTTGCCCTCTTACTGATAAAGAGACTGTGGCCTCTAGGCTAAGGAGCCTCGCCAAGGTCACCCAGAAGCCTGGTGGGAGAGCCTGGAATGCTCAGCTCGGTCCCTCTTACTTCATTCCACAAAGCATCACTGGAGACACAATTCAAAGTGCACAGCTTACTGATGATGGACAGCAGGTTCATCTCTGCAAATATTGGCCTAACATTGTCCATTAGACAAATCTATCTTGGCTGAGCCAGTGGGCAAGGCCCAGCGGGAGGGGCTTCAGATCTACGGACAACCAGATAGAGAAGATCCCTGCTCTTTCCCCAGGTACACATTCTCCTGGGGAGGCAGAAACAAAGGAGCAAACGCCTAAATGACAAAAATAGGTGTTTGCCACATAAAGTGCCACAGAGGAAACAAAAGACTGAGAAAGAGGACGATGGGGGAACTCAGGTGGCACTGGCAGGGACAAGGCTGTGTATAGACAGTTGTGGGGGCCTTGGTGGGAAAGGCCTCCCTGAGAAGGGGGCATTTAGGCTGGGGCCCGGATGAGGAGAAGAACCAACTGTGTCAACATCAGGGGGAAAAAGGTGCCAGACAAAGCGTCAAGCGTGGGCAGGAATCCTGAGGTGGGAGAGAGCCTGACGTGTCGGGAGAGTTAAATGGGTGGGGCGGGCTGAGTGAGCGAGCAAGTGGTGTGGTGTGAGGCTAGAGGGGAGGCCCAGATCATGATGGAGGCCTTCTGGCCTGTTCTCTCATGACTACCCTCTTGGACTAACCCAAGTCAGGAGGACCCGTGGGAAAGGAGATCAGTGGCTTCCAGTTTCCTTCCTGTGAATTAGATAAACTGCACTGACCACAGGAAGCTAGAGGAGACCCGAGTCTCTGTAGCAAACACATCCAAGGACAAGAGAACCGCATCTTCAGTAAGGGTGAGTAACTATGTATCACTCTTGGGATGAATCAGAAGATAAGGAAAACAGAAGGAAATGGGAAAATACAAACATATTAATAAGGAAGTGGTTAAATGATTATGGTACAGCCACGTAGTAGAACGCGGAGCAGCTGGCTGATAGAACTAGGTTAACTCTTTCAGTGCTTAACTGGCAAGATCTCTAGTCGGTTGTTAAGCAAACAAACAAAAGAACAAGGTACACAGTTATGTGTGTATCATACCACTGGTGTTAAAAAATAAAAAAAGCAGGAAGGATAACATGTATTTCCCAGATGTGCATAAAAGCTCTCTAGAAGGGTACACATAAAATAGATCTAGGAGGGGTTTACTCATTTATCTCTGCCTCTCCCCAGCACCAGAGAATGTGTTCTGGGAGGAAGGACAAGTGTCTCATCTGTCCTGTTTATCACTGTATCCCCAACAGTTGCACCTGGGAGGCTGGGGGACAGAGACAACAGAAGGAACACTCTGTCTCCTCTTACACGGTTTCCAAGTTTGAAACAGGTGAATGTATTTCCTATTCAAAGAAATTAACTAAAGCAGGAAAACAAGGAAAAGCAATGAGGGGTCTCCAGCTGCCAACCAGAGCCCCATGTTCCTTCTAGCCCACCCTGCCCCCCAGCCTCTGACTAAGCCGACCCGTAGGGAGACCAGCTTGTCCTCCCGGAGAACGGGGTGCTCACTGGTCCTCAGCTAGATTTTTTACCCCTAGTCATCACGATGGTTGTGACAGTCTAGTCACCAAAGACATCATCTAGAGAGCCCAGAATTAATTTTGCTTCTCAAATGTGAGCCATCAAAGGATCTTCCCCCTCGAGAGCCACTAGGAGAGAATGAACAAATGAAGAATTATTGAATGGCTGCTATACTCCAGATAGTGGTCCAGCAGTGGGCAAGGCTCCTTAGGGTATTAACCAGTGTAAATGGGGAGTCTAACTCAGAGGAACTCAGGTCCTTGGCCTTGGCCTCATAGTTTCCCAATAATTCCTTGTTGTGGGGGCCGCCCTGAGCATTGCAGAACATGTCACAGCATCCCTGGCCTCGATGTACCATTTGCACTGTAGCCAACACAGCCCAAAATGTCCCCAGACATGGTCAGATGTCACCTGGCGAACATCACCCCAGGATGAGAACCACCATTCCCATCCCTGCATTTCCAGACATCCACTTTGTGTTCCCGAGGAGAAGCCAGGGTTCCCATCAGCCTCTGTCCCAGCTGGGCTGCCACAGAGGCTGGCCGTTGACTGAACTTCACAGTGGGAGTGTTCCCTGAGTTTCAGATGCACTAACCGGTCCAACTTCCTGGGACCTCTCTGTCTGGGAAAAAAACGCTATGGGATTTTTTAAAATAACAATCTGTCCACAAGAAGCTCCCACGCCGAACAGGTTGGGGCCCTAAAAAGCCCTCCCAAAGCAGGTTGCTAATTAAAGTGGAACACAGTCAGGCTGGCCAGCTGGCCACTCTGCAGCACCCAGGGAAGTGAACGTCTCTTCCTCCCATGGTGATTCCCCACCAGGAGGGGGTAGAGACAGAGGAAGAGCATGAGGGGTCATTCTGTAACCAACAGGGGGATGGCAGGCACGCCCATCATCATCTCTCCTTCTCTCAAGAACATCATTCCCAAAGGGCAGCTTTCTTTGGAGGGCAAAGAAAAAGGAACTGTGTTTCTATGTTTTGATTACTGTGAGGTTCATCCTTGAGGGCACTGAGAAATGAATGAGCAAAATTTTCCATGGCTAACTGTCCTGGCCGCCAGGCCCTATCGGCAAAGGTTTAGTGTTTATTTACTTTTGCTCGTGTTATTTTTGTTTCAGTTCAGCTGCAGCTCAGTGCGGAAAGCGTGGGGGAGGTGTACATAAAGAGTACCGAGACTGGCCAGTACTTGGCCATGGACACCGATGGGCTTTTGTACGGCTCAGTAAGTATGAGGCTGACATGCTTCCGGACACGGCCAAGGTTTGAGGTTTCCAGAAATCGTGTTACGTTGAGTGATGCAAACTAGAAAGCAACAATTAGTCTCTGCTTGTTGTTTTTTCCAGCAGGATTCCCACCCTCTACCCTGCCTTATTTTAGGCGCAGGCATGAAAGAGTTTCTTGTGGTGCTCTCTCAAAATACTCAAACATACTATCGCCTGGACACAGAGGAGACATTGATTGAAATTTCAGTAACTCCTCAGTCAGTCATTTCAGAATACCTATTCCCACTGCATTCATTCATTCCCACAATGTTTCTGGAGCAACACCATAGGCTATGTGTTCTCTACGCTTCTCACAAAAACTGTAGAGCCTAGACTCCAGCGTGCGACTCGTCATCCAACAAATATTTAGCAAGTGGCTCCCATGTCTAAGGCCTGAAGGGAGGTGATGATGAATGGGCCACATGTCCTTGAGAAGCACAGTCTCAGAGTTTATTCAGGAGCTAAAAATCTTCCACATCTTCTGCTCCGACCCTCTCCTTGGTAATGCTTTGCACGGGTTTGACTCAGTATATGTATCAGTCTTAAGGAGAAAAGAAAAGAAACAGTATAATTTTGCCCCTGTTGGTATCTCTGGTAGAAGATTTAAATGGAAAGAGAACTAAAGCCAGTGGGCCCAAGGTTTGAAATTATTTCCACATGTCAGTGATCCTTTCTCTATATCTTAACAATTGATCATTGAGGCTTGGCCAAACCCCTTTCTTCCCTTTTATGAAGATGTCTACAAAAAGGCAGCTAGTAGGGGGTTTTGGTCTGAACCTCTCTTTAACTTACATCAAACTGCCAAGGGGCAGTGGGCACAGAAGACTGCCTCTTGAAGCTGTAACTTCAGGCAGGGTTGGGAATGTGAACACAGTTTGGTTTCTCATGCCGCCTACTAGGGGTCAGGAGACGACACTGTCAGAGCAATGAGCAGCCTCCTGTAGGCTGTTCACTGAAATATGGATCAAATGGGGCCATTTTAAAGGGTTTGGAGATAGGCAGTAGCTGTTACATAGAAAGCAGATTTTTTTTTTTAAGGTGGTTTTTCTTCTTGGTGATAAAATCAATCAACTGATCAATCACTGAATCTCAGACTCAAAACTGAAAATTTTCTGCAACTTTGGCAAGTTACTTGCCTCCTCTGAGCCTTGTCTAAAATGAGGCTAGTAATGGGTGGTGACTGTCACATAGAGGCGTTAAGAGGGGTCCGAGAGAGTGCACAGAACCCACCCACCGATATTGCCGACACGTGTGAGGTGCCCCATCAGTGAGAGCTAGAAGACGAATAATAAGTTTATAAATCCCTTTTCCTCATTATTTTCCAGGTTATACTTATAGTTTATGGCTTTTCCTCTTTTAAATCCATTTTGTCATTTAATATAACCATCTTTTACTTGTATAAAAATACTGAGGGAGAATCCCCAAATCCAATTTCCTCTAGGTTCCCACCATAGTCCTGGCCATCCCCATACTTCACCGGAAATATTCAGAGGGTAATCTTAATATATCATATCTGATAATTTATATATTTCTCCACCAATAATGATAAGTTCTAAAATATCTCTGAGTTCTGCCTCACATGTCTAACCAGTTTTAGGTGTTAATCCACCCTGGTACAAATTTTTATGCCTGGGGAAAGGACATGTTATTTTAGAAAATAAGTTGAAAGATTATATATCAAAATATTAATATAGTTATCTCTAGGGGTGATAACCATCCAATGGTGTAATATGTGAATGCCTGTCTTATCCAGATTTTCTACAGTAGGCCTATGTCACCCATATAGTGGGGAAAAAGAGAGCTAAATATTAAAAAAATCATCTTAAAAATAGTTATGAATCAACTATTAATCTCCAGGCCCTTGGCATTGCACCAAATGCATAACAACTACTGACAAATCCTGGTGGAGGGACAGACGAAGTTCCGTGATGCGGCCTGCTGACTCAGCCTGTGACTCAGCCGCTCTGTGTGTGTCAACTGCTCTAGTGTAACACAGACGTCAGGTGAGGGACGTGGCTGTCCTCAGCTTCGTCACAGAACACAGGCCTGACGCCCACTGAGGGGTGTCATGGGGGACCCTCCCTACACAGGAGTGAGCAACCCACGCAGGTCCACCACTGCCCACCCCCTTCCACACCCGGCAATATGCATCGAACACTAATGTCTGGATAAGTTCCTGCAGAGATAGCAAGAGTCACCCAATCAGATATTACCCTTATCTCCCATCTTGTTCTAAAAGGATCCAAAGTGTCTCACCCAGATGTCACTCCACTAGACTACAAATGAATAAGGAGCAGGAGACTTCCTGTTCCAGAGTTCCTTACAAACCAAAGGGAACTTTATGGACTGCTTTCCACACTCTCAAGAAGCAAATGAAAGTCACCACCTAGCTGGAGAGCACCTATCCTCCGCAAGACTCTGCGTCGGCTGGGTAGATGCAAGGCTGACAAGTTTCCACCTCTTCCCTCAGTGAGGCTTACAGCTACATACACAAACATGCCCATGAATAAAGAATGATGAACAACAAGACTGGAAACCACCAGGAAGGGCATCACCCACCACTGTGAGTGAAGAGATAATACTAGATCACGTGACTAGGAACTGGCACAAAGTTGATATACAGCCTATATCATTTATCTTCAAGTATAACAAATGTATTAGAAAATCCTGATGAAATAGGAAGCCAAATGCCTGGGGTCCTTCTTACCACATTCTAGCAGATGAATTCCAAGTAAAACAGTAATTGTTGGTAGCTATTTTTCAAGTAACTGGACTATTTAATATGTCCTAGTGATCTTTTCATATTAATAAATTGGCAACTGCACTGGATTCCACTGCATGGGTGCGCCCCTAGCCACTTCACCAATCACCTTTCCATAAAGATGTAGGTTGCTTCGAGTGTGTTCCCATTATACCCAGTACTGCAAAGACCATCCTTGAAAATAACGTTTTATACTTGCTCAACTATCTCCTAGGGCTCAATTCCTACAAATGAAATTGCTGGGTCAAAGGTAATACATATTGCCAAACTACCCTGAGAAAATTGTCACCAATTTATCTCACCAACAGTGCACAGAAGTGCCTATGTCCTATGCTTTCACAATACCAAGCATTGCAATTTTTTTTGTTCTTTGCAGATATTATAGCCAACCTGTTATATTATTTTTAATTTGCATTTTCTTGTGAGATTGAATGTTTTCATAGGTTTCTTTCCCACTTCTTTTTAAAAGCAGTGATAGCATGCCATTTTGCTAACATCATCAGTCTCTATCCATATGGCCTTATCTATGTCCCTCCGTGTGTACATACGTAAAGATATGTGAAAGTATGTTCCATCAACTGTTAGCAGCCCTTATACCTGGGTGGGTGGCTTTGGGGTGTTGTTGTTTTATTTTAATTTTTTCCTTCTTTCTTAAAGTAAAGTTGTGATTTTTAAAAGTACAATTCTTTAAAAAAAAAAGGACAATTCTTTGTATGAGTAGATATTTTTTATACATAGGAAAAAATAAAGCTATGTTCAGTTTTTAAAACCTTTAAGTTACAGAATAATGTTTTATGCTTAAGACACATTTTGTGCAAGTGTTTATATCCCAAACAATGTTAACATAAAAATCCTGATATTGTTAGTGAAAGTTGCCAGGATATAAAATAATATTAGTAGGTTGTCATTTATTTTTCAAGTCCAAACTTAAAAATCCCCACCACATCACAGTTTGGTTTTACCAATTTTGGCCATTTTTCAGGGTCATGTCTATGTGCCAGCCTTTAGAGACGAAAGGCTCAGCCCTGCTTTTGATGTGCTACGGCTGATCATTCGGGACCTCCCCAGCAGGGAACTCCAGGGTCCTGAGGACAGCAGAAGGAAGGGGAACTTGCAAAAACAGTAAATGAATTTGAAGGCTCACTAGGTGCTGGGTTCTGTTCTAAGTCATTACCATTACCACTTCCCTCAGAAACAGGTCCCATTATAATCTCGCTTTTCCTGAGAAAGAAACCAAAGCACAAAGAGACTCCGTAGACTGGCCCCAGGTCACAGTGGCTAGCAGACAGAGAAACCACACTGAAAACCAGTCACTAATAATTCTCCTCTCTCCCGTCTTATCTTTTTAGCAGACACCAAATGAGGAATGTCTGTTCCTGGAAAGGCTGGAAGAAAACCATTACAACACCTACACATCCAAGAAGCACGCCGAAAAGAATTGGTTTGTAGGTCTCAAGAAGAATGGAAGCTGCAAACGCGGTCCTCGGACTCACTATGGCCAGAAAGCAATTCTGTTTCTCCCCCTGCCAGTCTCCTCTGATTAAAGAAATCTCTTCTGGGTGCCGACCACTCCAGAGGAGGCTGAGGGGATCCTCACCCAACTGACCCCAGATTGCTCCCTTGACCATGGCTGCACTAACCCCTGGCCCACAGAGCCTGAATCTGTAAGCAATGCGCTTCTAAATGCCCCGTTCACTTTTTTTTGCAGAGCCTCTTAGCCCAGCACAGTTTGGAGCAGAGGGAACAAATTGCTTCTAGGGGCCAACTGGCTGGTCAGTCTGGGTGTGTGAATGTCCAGTTGCCTCCGGGCACCTGCTATAGGCTGAGCCTCTCAAAGCAAAGGTGTGGCCAAATGAAGTGTGTTCAGAGGCCTGCCATGTGGGTCATTAGTAACTGCATACAATTCCCTCTACTGAGTAAACTCTGTTGGTGATTTCCCCAAACATCTCGCATGATGCCCTTTCGTCCTTTCAGTTCCCCACATATATTAACAGAGAAGTTTATGACTAGGTTAGGGGAAGGCAGTGTTCCATGAGTGGAAACTGGGACAAAGAAATCAACCCCCCGCCCCAAAGAGAAGGGACTAAAATGGCAAATGGAGATTGGGTTCTGGTGGACAGCTTAGGAGGATGGGCTCTCAATGCAGAATTAACAAAGAATGGGAGGCTTAGTCGCAAGAAAGCAGAATACATCCATAGCTTTGGAAGTCCTTATGATGCCTTGACTTTCCCAAGATTATTTGGGAGCAGGAAGCCCCAGGATGATGTCAGACGGGCAGCATAAGAAGTGGGCTCTTGATAAAAGCGAAAACATCCAATGTTGGTAAATTCATTTGGGTCTGGAGTGTGGGAGTGCTGAGAAAGAAAGGAAATGTGGGCTGAGGGGATGCTTTCCTAGAAAGAGGTAGATTCCAGAAGTGAGGAGGAAAGAGAGACGGACACCATGACTTGTGCCCAGTCCCCAGAAAACAGAGGAACTGGGGTCCCAGGCAAGACTTAAAAATCACAAGCGGACTGGGATCGAGTGTAGATTCTGGGGCAGTGGGACTGGGGTGCAGTCTGTATTTCTAACATGCCCTGGGGACGTCAGGGGCTGCTGCCCTCTCCCCCACCCCCACTTTATGTAGCAAAGTGCTGAAGCAAAGGAACGTGGCTCAAGCCCCCTGACCCTCTCTTGCCTCCCCCTTAGAAACATACACACCCTGAGACTTCCTGAGCGTTTAGGCAGCACCAGCAGCAGTGACGCTGGTGCGACGGATCATGGATTTAAGGCGCTTTGGCCCAGTGGCTATAAAATACCCATTTAGAAGAGATCCAAAAGCATACTTCAAAAATGTTAAACCCTCACCAACAGCTTTTCTCAAGAGACCATTTGTGTTACGATTACTTGTATAAATATGCTTCCTGCTTAAAGTAAACTTGACCCAAGTGGCTAGCAAATTAGAAACACCATTCATCTCTGACATATGATACTGTTGCCATGTAAAGGCCCTTAATAAGCCATTTACATTTACTGTGAGACTGTATGTTTTAGTCACATTTAAAAATATAGAGCTCAAAAGTCAGTTAACTGATTAGCATTCAGCCACTGAGAATAAAATAACAGGCTATGATGTATAAGTTCTTCAATTATCTACTACTTATACTATACTTACCTATAAAAAGAGATTGTACTTCATTTTCCATTGTGCTATTACCAATTTTCCTTTGAAAGTGGGGACTCTGAAGCAAAGATATAACTGTGGATAAAAACTGTTGAGAATATTAGCTCATGGTATAAGAAATTGACATGACTAATGGAAAAATAATTCTTTACTAACTGAATTGTCATGTTTATGATGGGGGGAAGACAATTTGTGAAAGTTCAAAGCAACAGTGCAACTGAGGAACTGAACTAAGTTCATACTATGGTTCATAATATCATTCTGCATTCAGAAATTTTTGTTTTTGTAACTTGGATAAGACAATTCTATGTTATTTTAGTAAATCCTTACGGGCAAGATGGGGATCATGCAGTGTGGTTTAATATCTCCTTACTCTGAAGATCTGGCAGAAAAGGGTACCGAGAGAGGAAATCTAAGATATTTATAATGGTCCATAATTTTTAGTGTATGAATCAAATTCAAATATAACACTGGCCAAGAAAAATTAAATGTTGCTAACAGATGAGACAGGAAGTCTGTGGTTTCAGAGATCCACAGCAGTTAGAAGAAACACTACGGTGGCCTCCACAACCTCTGCCCAGTCATTATTCATGCATTCATTCAGTGAATATGTATTTTGTGCCTACTGTGTGCCAGGCACTGTCCTGGGTACTGGGGCCCCTGGAAACCTTGTCTGTCTGGTTCACTGCTGTACTCTCTCCCAGGGCATTATATTTATGATGAAAGACGCTGTGGATTCATTTACTTCAGTCAAGTGAAAACGCAGACTGTATAGGTTCCCGCTGAACAAACAGCAAGACCCAGAAACCCAGGTTCTGGAAGAATTTGCAACACCCAGTGTAAGATAAATCCCTATCAAGGTGTCAGAGGACATGGCGAGGTAAACCTACTATTTTCAACCGTAGAACCATGTCGGCTTCAGGGGCACTGCTTTCAAATTGGGAAAAGAGCCTGTCAGGTCTTGTTGGGGCGGGGGGGGTGGTTGTCAGATGCCCCGCCACAAGGAACATGCTCTAGTTCCTTAAACATGGATGGAGCATTGCTGTTGTGCTCTCTCTCTTCCTTGAGTAAGTCATGTAGCCATCTGCTTGTCACATGCCTCTCATTTGGATTCATTCTCAGGCCAACTGTTAAGAATTGCCTGACATTCTGTATGAAGCATCAGGAGCATTTATGCTTTTGATTGTTCCCAACATGGAGGTGGTTAGTGATCTGTTTCCTTGTGAGGGATGATAATTAGAGCCTCCTCCAGCCAACAGTGTGGACTTATCAAAAACTGACTAGAGCATCAAGTGGTCCTGAAGATCAAGGTCCTTGCTTTGTGTCAGAAGTGACAGAGCCCGACTCCTCAGCCTTGGGGAACGTACTGCCTAAACCAACCGAGACCATGGGCTACAAAGCAGACCTCTGATGAAGAAGACGTCTATCATTTTACATCACTGTTGCTCTTTTTTTGGGCACCTTACAAGTATTAATAAATGTTCCACTAAAAGGTGATAATGTCTCTCTGAGTTTTAAAACAACACAGTCTCATCTTCCTGTGGAAGGTCTCCCCCATCTTTCCCCTGCGCACCTGACAGGTGTGGCTCCTGTGTTTTCTAGACACAGCTTGTCACCAGAGGATACCATAAAAGCTGACAGGAAAGCTAAGGTAGAAAACTTTTTCATTTTGTTTGGAAACCTAAGGCAATATTAGTGTTCTTCTAGGGATCCATCAGGGAAGTACGTTCAAGGGATTTGCCCCCTGAATAGCCAAGTATCATAACTAAATCAACTGATATTTTTTCTTCATAGTAAAAATTATGAAAATTTATGCTACTATCATACAGTTGACCAGCTTGTGCTGAGGCAAACATTCTATGACCCCCCCCCCCAAAATTTAAGGACTTACAACTTGTAGTCAATGGCAAAGGGTGCATCTCTTTCATCTCAAGGGCCTAACAAAGGATATTAATTTGCCCATCAGATTTTCTGATATTATTTTCATACTAAGCAACATCTCTTTAAATAAACTTCTCAATCTTAGGACTTCTTTTTATTGTATTTATTTATTTATTTTTGATTATTTATTTGTTTATTATTTATTTTATTTATTTATTTGCAGAGAGACAGAGCATGAACAGGGGAAAGAGCAGAGTGAGAGGGAGAAAAACAAGCAGATTCCCTGCTGAGCAAGAAGCGCTAACAAGGGGGCTTGATCCCAGGACCCTGAGATTATGACCTGAGTTGAAGGCAGGCATTAACCAACTGAGCCACCTAGGCACCCCTAAATCTTAGGACTTCTTATTCTTAGGAGAAAGCATATTGTTTCTTCCTAGACAGAGTCAGATCGCACACACAAGCATACACACACACACACACACACACACACTCTCAACAAGCAGTACCTATTAATAATGGCTGGGCAGAGTTTGTCCAATCTACCAATTACACACCACCATCAATCACTCCTTTTCCTTTTAAAGTCACCTAAACCCAATATTTTCCTACTCTTTGGAGCTTGATCCACAGTAAGAACTACATTTTCTATCACAACCCAGTACATACATATGTATACACACACAACTAAAACAAAAACAGCAGGAAACTATACACAGACAATGCATTTTTTCCATTACATTCCATTTAAAAATGCTGGTCAAAGATCCATTAAATTGGGTCACAACATTAATGGGTTACAATCACAATTTTTTGAAAAACACTGGCTCAAAGCAACTGGTCTTCTTCCCAAAGATGAAGAAACCCAATGAGGGATCCTGTATTACGACTTTAGTGTTTTCAAAGACAGTTTGTTCAAAGACAAGGGGACATCCTGTTATCCAGGAACCATCTGTTCTGAGGGCTTGGTGAATTCTTCTAGTTGGTTTGCTACTAATCATGCATAATGAATGTAATGATGCAGATCCCACAGGCAACCACCACTGTTTGCAAAGCCTCCAATGTTTTTAGCAGATTTCTGATGGAAGGGCCCTGAGGACATTGGCCCCCTCCCATCCTTTGAAACTCTCATCACTGTGGAGCCTGAGGGCATTGTCTCCCTAACTCCCACTGTCTTCACTTCATTCCTCCCTCTTGCTCCCCCATCCCCAAACTCTTAATTCATAACTATTTCTAAACAAGACTTGTAAAGTAGACAGCCAGGAAAAGGTGAGACACCCAGGGTCTCTGAGCATCCTCCCCCGCCTCCATCACTTTCTGACAATGACCCTCTTATCTTCCTACCATAATTCAGTGACAAGATAAACACCACTGCTACTGGAATGCATCTTATACAGGGATTCGAAAATTTTCATCTTGGCTGAACCAACTAAAAAAAAGTAACTCTATGCCCTAAATGTTTCGGAGGGTTAGGCTGGCTGAGAATCGGATTCTTACGGGTGAACTTGACAGCAAAAGGGAAAAGTGTGACTGAAGTCACTGCCTTCCACGTTTATCTGAGCGATGTCCTAGCTGCCAAGGGATGGGGAGGGGAGGAGAATCCTAACCCTAAATACCCTTGGGTTGCCATTATATTGAGGAGTATGGTGATAGTGATACCTCGAAGACGTGCCTTCATGTGCACTTGTACAAATTAACAAAAATGATCTGTAAGGAGCTGTAGTGCAATATAGGAATACTTAAGCCCAACCTAGCCATGGGACTTGTAACTTCTCTTTTTCAAAATCATTAGGCATTTGTTTGACAACTGTTAAAATTGCAGTAATGGCTTGTGAAAAGCGGCACACCCCCACCTTCCCCCTCCACTCCTCAGACCTGTCCTCCAGCCCCAGAAAG